TACGTGAAGATGGTTAATTATGATAAAAGTATACTGGCTTAATTTTTTTATTGACATGCATATGCTTTAATAAAATTTAATCCCAACATTTTATTTCATTATAAGGGTGCCAGTTGGTAGGAATTAAATGGAATAGTTATCACATGGCTGGAATGTAAATATCTTCAATAAGCATGTCACCTTCAAAGCTATTTCTGAAGATAGTGCTTGTTACAATAGATATATTAATATCATGCAATTAAATTAAGAAACTTTGGTTACAGTCACCAAATCAATGAAAGTGAAAATAATACCTTTTTTCTAAAACGTCCTTTAAACGCCTACCGCGCCATACATTCATGCGCATTTTCAACTGCTGCATCCAAACACCGAAGTTAAATTGCTCTTCTTTGTTATTCACTTCATTGAACTAGAAACATTACTCATAAATGCAAAATTTGCTGACAATAAATTTACTTTTCAGGAAATTTTAATTTACGAAGTAAAATACCTGTGCTTTCATATTGAATTCTTTATCATCATCGAGACCGAACATCAACTTCAGAGCAAAAAGTATTATTGCAACTGCCTTGACATCGACGGATGGCATTATAGAATATCTATATTACAGTCGAAAAATAACGAACTATCAAAATAACTTTTTAAGCTTAAATAAAGGAAATTGATGAAAAATGAAATTGAAAATATTAACTCAAATTTTGTCATCAAAATAAATCGCTCGAACCTATAGATCTGTTTGTTTATGAAATTTTTTTTTAAATTGTAATTTCAGATTGTATAAGTGGTAAAGAAATAATATGTAGAGGAAAGCTCTACATTTTATTCCTTTCTGACTAATATTAAATTTTTTTTCATTTCAGAAGAGAAGTATTGTAAATAAGCATTTTGAAGCTTGAAGCGAAGTGCATTAAGCAAAGAATGGCTTAACAAGAGAACAAGAATTTAAACTTGAACGAATCTTTTCATTTACTTACTGTCGACCGCAACCTTCTTCCAACTGATAAGTGCTTTGCTCAAGCGCCAAAGTGATATTATCACAATAGGCATTGTTTGCCTTTTGCAATAATGCTTCCAAATCAACATTCCCGAATCGATGAATAAATTGCGAATCGAAAACAACATTTGGAGAAGAAATAACAAAAATTGTGTGTAGGCGCTGTACGAAATCAGTCGGCAAATTAAGATTATAGCTAAGGCGAGTTAAGATCTGCAATGCAGACTATAGCTTTTTTGAAGCCTCTTGGTTCTGAATATGTAAATTTTCATGAAGATTTCAAAAAAAAGCATGTCTGACCATTGACTAATGAAAATCTCACTGTGGAAATCGAAAGATATCTGCAAGACGTAAAAATTGAAAAAATTATTACGACCATAGATTTTTAAAATACAGCTATGGTTCTAAACGAAACTTAATATCGAAAAAGTGTGTAAACTTGCCCGATCAAAAGAGTAAGAAATTGGTTGCACCGGAATATCGGTTAACTGAGCAACCACCATAATTGTTCGTACGTATTCATGTAGCGGCATTGTCTGAAATTTTGAAATGAAATGAAAAATACACAAAATAAGCTAGGAAAAAAAGATTTAACATCTTTCACTTTCCTTCTTTAGACATAATTCTCATGAAGTTGCTTATTGACAACATAAAGGAAAAGATTAACTTGTTACAACTTGTAACAAAGTAAAATGGAAGAACTGAAATTAACTATTTTTATCTAATCAAATACAACTGTTCTTTCTTAACAGAAACTTTCTGAATTCCTGCACATTTGCGTAAATTTCATATCTGGAGTCTATAACTGCGTCGCTGGATAAATTAAATGCTATATGCGAACAAGACATGTTGTGAATTAACTGCGACTCTCAACATGATCAGATCTGATTAAATTTTCGCTGTTTGAAAATTCTACGGGAAAGCTTTGGCTCATATTTGTCTATCAACAAAGTCCTTTCATAACGTTGAAAAGTTTATAAGGTGATATTAGTTGATGAAAAAAGCTTCTAATAACAGAAACACTATGAAAAAACACATCAGAAAAATAGCAAAGCGAGCATACTGGTGTCCTCGGACAATAAGAAAGTCCTTTCGCACTGAAGATATCGTTTCCTTTTCCGCCAACAAGTAAAGCTGCAGATTGAAATAACGATATCGGAAATCGGCCTTCACGAAACCACCTGAAAAGTATTTGTAATTTCCACTCAAATGAGAAATAATGGAAGATAATTTTGTCCTTAACTATGAATTTCTAGGACAAAAGATATTGGTAATACCGTGTAATATCAGATAATAACATCCAATTTGCACCGGAGAGCAGACATCCCAAATAAAGAATAACCATAATAATTTCCATACTCATTGGAACACGCAAAAGCTAAAAAATAAAATGGTTAGAAAACATTATGATTGCGATGCTCAGAGTTAGGAATAGTGTGGTTAGACGCTACTATTCATTATGGCTTATGAGTTTTGGACATGAAACATGAAAATGTGATGCCATTTGCCGATCAAAAAATATATTTCATCTCCATATTCCCATTTTATTCTACATGTTTATTTCATACTACAATTGATAAATCAATTTTATCTTGAATATCCTCATTCTCCGCACAATATACACCAACTGTAAACTTAATAAATTTTACTTATTTGCTTTTACGATACTTTTTGCCTCAGAATATCACAAGGATAAGCTAACTGTACATCAAATACAAAATAAACTTTTTTAATGTATTTGAAAAATTAAATTTGTTAAAATCAGATAAACCACAGAAAAACTTACTGTTGAAAACGCATCCTTTGCTATCTTTGTTCTTTTTTCAATTATAGCTTCTAAGTCATCCTTAAAAACATGAGGAAATAAAATCGAAATATTAACCTCTTTATATGCAGTAATCTCAGTGCTAATTTTAGCTTCAGATAATGAGCAAGCAATGAGACAGATTTGGATACTAGACCATAACAGAACATTTAACATTGCAAAAATATTAAAACCCACGAACATACCATATCGAGATCATAAGTATGAACATCCAAATTTTCTGTGATATCCGCAGTTGATATTAACGATATAACGTTATCGCCACTCCTCAACTGCGCTTCTTTTTGTGCCTTAACTTTCATCTCCTTCTCTTTTTTTTGCGCTTCACTGCAATAAATTTAACCGGAATTCTGGGAAGAATTTTTTCACTTATGTTGAGATGAACTTCGCATTGGACCAAAACTTTTGCCATTGTTCTTTCGAATTTAACGTTACAGCACTTTGTGAGTAAATAAACTATACATAATATTGTAGATATATTTTTTACGTATTTTATCAAACCACAAAACAATTGCGAAAACATTATCAATATAATGTCAAATCGTCCGATAATAACAAAAATTTCTCGAGGCACTGAGTTTAAAGTACAGAATGTTTGCCTATATTTAATAATGGAGGAAACATTCGGATTGCCGCACATAATTTAAGTTCTATTGATTGATATTGTAATGTGATTAAATCGAAGTTTTGCTATATTCAAATTATAATATTGCTTACTATTTTTCGTTCTTTATTAATGGACAATATGAGTTTTCTTCATCCAATTCTTCCTTACAGAATGCTACTCCGAAGCGTTGAAGATAATGCTGCAGAATATTAAGAACATGCCACTAAAACAAAAGAAATCATAAGCCTACACGATCGAATAAAAGCGTACTTACTCAATTTTCACAAACTTTCACGAACAGACATAAATATTTTGGATGAATCAAACGGTAAAAGAGCTCGATTCAAAGTATGAAAAGTGGATATCACATTATTTGCAGTTCATTACTTTCTTTTTAGAATAAAATCACATAAATTTACATACTTCCCATTACACCATTTAAAATGCAAAACAGCAAATTAACGAACCTTTACACACTCTAGCACACCAAAATCACGAATTAGCATAGCCGAAAACTGTGAAAGTAGCTTTGTAAATGTTGCCAACCGTAAACCAGCATGTCCAAGATATGTCGGGAAATCCTGTTTCAAGGCTGGCAAATGATAGTTTTCATCAATTTCCTCTTCTTCCTAAAATGCGATTAAAAAATTTTCAGTACTACCTCGGAATAAATTCCCTACAATTAGTTATTTCTCGATCACTGCTCATGGAACTTTTGATTTACTTCCCATGATGCATGAAAACGCTACGAGAAAGTCTGTTATCTTCATCGTGAAAACAGAAAAACGCTCCACTAATAAAATGCATCACCTCAACTTTGTTTTCCCTTTCATTTTTGCCTGCTCTGGCCTTCTTCTGACGAATCTTCGTTGATGGTGTAGAAATTAAAAATGTGCCTTCATTATCAAGATCAAATTCACGAAGAATCTGCATAAAGCATAATAAAACAGTATTGAACTTTTCGTTTATTACATTACACATCTTTAAGAACTGTGTTACGTAGTATCGATAGAGAAATGGTCAAAATATGGTTAAATATAAAAAAGATGAATCCAAACACATTAAATCTGATGAATTGATATATAAAAAGTTCACATGTTATTTTCCTCCTACATCACCACACTTGACATTAAACACATATGAACTTCCTGTTAATTACATATTACTCTCAACATTACCACTATTCCTTTACTTTCACGATCATACACTTAAAACTTTGTTACCTGTGACTGTGTGTTACACACTGCACAATAGAAAAAACCATCCACAGGTGTAAAATCTGCTGCACCACAATTGTTACAATATCCTGACATTCGCGTATACTTCTACTTCACGTCGTCGATGTTTCTTTTTCCCACATACGGACTTTATTAATAAGCCGATCAAACACGATTTAAAAACATCTTGAAGAAAACATTCATAAGCTTCGAATGCAAAAGTTACAGACTCAATGATATACAAGCTGTAAAGCTTCCCCTACCACTCAATTAAACTTCACATATCTTTCAGATAATCAAACAGTTAGGGTTTCATGTGTTTGCAAATGTAAAGAACAACTTTATCGACAAACTGATAACAATGGAGATGACAGCAACTGCACAGATATATTAAATCAGCAACGGATTTGCTTATGTCAATAATTGAAACAAACAAATATAAATACAGCAAATAAAATAATAATACACGACTAATAACAATGCAATAGCATGCGATATAGGAAAACTTCGAATTCTATTCTCCACATATTCGTAAAGCTACACTGACCCTAATATTTTCAGCACATTCAATTTTCATATATAAATATTAATTTCCTGATTTGAATTTCAAATACGAATACATAAAATTTCAAAGAGTTGGCTAAACGTCTGAAATTGACTGCTTAACAATTAATTGTACTGAAATAATAATATAAGTATACATTTCAAAAAAAATCTTCCCAAAAAATTCCAACAAAACACTTGAACTAGAATGGTTATGATGGGATTTGGAGAAGCAGGAAAGCGAACAAAGGAGGAAAAATGTCCCAACGAAGTAGAAATAAGAAATCAAAACATTTTTACAGCAAAAAAAATCTTCTATTGACAAGACCGACCGGGATTTCTGTAATTTTCCAAAATAGACACCATTCGTACGCATTTTTAGGATTATATGCAAGGTCATTCGATAAAAAGGTAGTTTATGTTTCCGTTCAAATAGCACGTGGTTAGGCTTCTGATAATGTCCTAAATTCATTGGCCTAAAGAATCTTTTGATAAGTTCAAAATTTGATTTATTCATTTCTTTGCAGCACGACGTTTATATATTTTTGGCACTTTATGAGTGAGAACATAGCGTTGGGGAACTGGAAGAGGCGGTGAATAACCCTGCGGAAA